AAAAAACAAAAAAACCCCCAAACAAACAAACAAAACAACAAAAAAACCAAACAAAACAAACAAACAAACAAAACAAAACAAAAAAAACCCACCACCCCCCCAAAAAAACCACAAAAAACCAACAAAAAAACCCCAAAAAACAAAAAAAAAACCAACAAAACAAAACAAACCCCCAAAAAACCAAACAAAAAAAAACAAAACAAAACCAAAACAAAAAAAAACCAAAAAAACCGCCCAGAAATAAAAAAAAAAACCAAAAAAAACCCCAAAAACAAAAAATAAAAAAACAAAACAAAACCAAACAAAAAAACCCCAAAAAACCCCCCCAGAAATACAAAAAAAAACAAAAAAACCAAACAGAAAAAAACCAAAAAAACCCAAAAAAACCCCAGAAATACAAAAAAAACCAAACCAAAACAAACCAAAAAAAACCCAAACAAAAAAAGGCGGTGCGGAGCCGCCTGCCGTTCCCCGGGACTCGCTGCAGCCCGTTCTGCTGCTGGATCTCCGGCCTGAACCTCCCGCCGGCTCCACTAGGTGCTGAGCAAAGCCAGGGAAAGGATCGCTCCCCCGCTGCCCCCCCCCAATTAATTGTGGGACACGGTGTAAATCAAAGCCGCCTGTGTCGGAGCCCTGCGGTACCACGGCAGGTGCTGCCTGCGGGGGCTGAAGAGCTCAGGCTTTCCCCGTCCCGGCAAAGAACTTAATTAGCAGCATATACGTTAAAAACTGTGACGCTGAGCCACGGGGTAAGTGACACCCAGAGGCATGGTGGCGAGTCAAGGGAATAGCTGTGGGATGCCCTTTTGGGGAGTTTTGGTGGGGTTTTGTTTTGCTTTTTTTTATTATTTTTTTTATTTTTCAAACGTGAAGCCTTACTCCGGTCCAGGAGTTTTTGTTGAGGCTCAAAATTTTACGCTTCTTGCAAAGAAGAGAAACTCTGCACTCCCTTTTTTGGGTTCATGGGGCTCGCTGTGGTGGGGAAGAGAAACTCCCTTTTCCTGTAGGGGCACTTGCTGCCTCCAAATTGTCCTTCTGCTTAAATATATAACCCCAAACCACTGTCTCCATCAAACCCTATGGGTGGTTTGAGAGCACTGAGGTAAACACGATTCCTCCCTCTGGTTGGTGTCTGTGCCCCGGGCGTGGGGCAGCACCCTCTGGTTTTTGCTGTTCTCCAGCTTTTTTCCATCACAGGGTGTGTGTCCTGTGATGCCCTAAGGAGCACCCAGCATTTTGGAGTGACCCCGTGAGCGTGGAAGGCCTCTGCTGCTGGCAGGGGGTTGCTGGAGGTGACCTGTGAGTCTGTGTGGTTCGTGGGGCTCAGCCTACACGGTCACAGAATCCCAGAATCCCAACTTGAAGGGTCCTCGAGGTTCATCTGGTCCAGCCTGTCGTGGCAAAAGCATGGTCTAGACAAGATGGACCAGCACCATGGCCAGCTGGATCTTAAAAGTGTCCTGTGATGGGGATCCACCACTTCATAGAATCATAGAATTTCCCAGGCCGGAAGGGACCTCCAAAGCCCATCTAGTCCGACCCCCCCACAGTCAGCAGGGACACCCCCAACTAGACCAGGTTGCCCAGGGCCTCGTCGAGCCTCTCCTTGAATATCTCCAGGGAAGGGGCCTCAACCACCTCCCTGGGCAACCTGTTCCAGTGCTCCACCACCCTCACAGTGAAGAACCCTCTCCTCATCTCCAGTCTAAATCTGTTCCCCTCCAGCTTGAAGCCATTGCCCCTCGTCCTGTCACTGCAGGCCTTTCTAAACAGGTGGAGGTGACCTGTGAGTCTGTGTGGTTCGTGGGGCTCAGCCTACACGGTCACAGAATCCCAGAATCCCAACTTGAAGGGTCCTCGAGGTTCATCTGGTCCAGCCTGTCGTGGCAAAAGCATGGTCTAGACAAGATGGACCGGCACCATGGCCAGCTGGGTCTTAAAAGTGTCCTGTGATGGGGATCCACCACTTCATAGAATCATAGAATTTCCCAGGCCGGAAGGGACCTCCAAAGCCCATCTAGTCCGACCCCCCCACAGTCAGCAGGGACACCCCCAACTAGACCAGGTTGCCCAGGGCCTCGTCGAGCCTCTCCTTGAATATCTCCAGGGAAGGGGCCTCAACCACCTCCCTGGGCAACCTGTTCCAGTGCTCCACCACCCTCACAGTGAAGAACCCTCTCCTCATCTCCAGTCTAAATCTGTTCCCCTCCAGCTTGAAGCCATTGCCCCTCGTCCTGTCACTGCAGGCCTTTCTAAACAGGTTCTCCCCAGCCTTCCTGTAGCTCCCTTCAGGTACTGGAAGGCTGCTATTAGGTCTCCCTGGAGCCTCCTCTTCTCCAGGCTGAACAACCCCAGCTCCCTCAGCCTGTCCTCGGAGCAGAGGTGCTCCATCCCCCTGATCATCCTTGTGGCCCTCCTCTGGACCCTCTCCATCAGGTCCATGTCTTTCTTATATTGAGGGCTCCAGACCTGCACACAATACTCCAGGTGAGGTCTCAGCAGAGCAGAGTAAAGTGGCAGAATCACCTCTCTGGACCTGCTGGCAACGCATCTTTTGATGCAGCCCAGGATGGGATTGGCCTTCTGGGCTGCAGCTGCCCACTGCCTGCTCATGTCCAGCTTCTCATCCACCAGCACCCCCAGGTCCCTTTCCTCAGGGCTGCTTTCTTCCCCAGTGAGATTATTCCAGTGGCCAATTGTTCTCATTGTGAAAATTTTTTCCTCTGCCAAAGGAAGCCCCAAGGCCATCCCCAACCCAGCCTTGCGAAGACTCCAACCCAAACTGCTCTTTGAGTCCCTCAGGAAGCCCCAAGGTGCCTGCAGGGCCGCGGTGGGGACAGGGGACCCTGTCGCAGCAGCAGCATCTGAACGCCATGGCCCGGCCGAAACAGCCCTGAAAGTAAATCCCCGTATCCCCCTGGATGCCGGCAGCGACCCGCACTGCTGGTACCTGCTGGGGCTCGACTTTTTTCCCCTGAAATGCTGGAAAAAATCTGGCCGGTTTCCAGCGCAAACGAACAGGGCGAGGAGCCGATGGCGACCGGCGGCGGGGGCTGAGGCATCTCCTGGGGGACCGGCTCCGCTGCCTCATCCGACGGCTGGACCGGGGACAACCCGAGCCCCGGGGGGGATGTTTCGGGGCTGAGAGGGGGGGCTTCAAGCCCGGACAGCCCCCCCAGCCCGCTACCGTCCCGGGCCGTACCGGGCACCGGTCGCCAACGGAGCCGGCGGCCGGAGCCGAGCCCCCGACGGGGCGGGGCGGACCGGGAGCCGCCCCCGCGTCGCGGAGCCGCCGTGCCAGCATGGACCGGAGCCGGGTAAGGGGGTACCGGGGAGGGGGAACCGCTTCGCGGAGCCGCCCGCACCCGCGGAGGGGCGGCTCGGCGGGAATAAGGGCGGCGGGGGTGCGTGGGTGGGTTTTTCCACCCCCTCCGGGGATGAAGCAAGTCGCAGGGCCGGGCTCGGTCTCCTCATTCCCGGGGGGGTCCTGCCCCCCCCTTGGCTCTGCACCCCACCGGGGGGCTTGGGGACAGCCGTGGGGACAGGTTTAGCCCATGCTCGGGTGTCCTTGGTGGGTCGAAGCGTGGGGCATCCCCCTGGCGCTGGGGGATTGGCTGCACGTGGCTCTGAATTATTGAGCGTGTTGTAATCGTCCTGAAAGTCCAGGTTTTGCAGGGACACGGTGAGTGCAAGTCCCGGCTGGGAAGAGGTTACAGGTGTTTGGTGGTGGTGGTTAGTCACGGGAGGAGAGTCGTAACCCTCGGCTGAGCTCCCAGCTCCTGCTTGTTGGCTGACCTTGGGCAGATGATTGCTTTTTCTCTCTCTGTGTGCTCCAACTGCACATCTGCTGGTTTCATACGGCGGTGATGTGCTCTCAGGGATTTGAAACGCTACAGGAACAGAAATGCAAAGTGAAGCTTGGAAACGCCGTTGACCTTGGCTTGCAGCGTGCTGCACCCGAGGCCAAAGGCAGGTCTCCGTTTTCTTGCAGTCACTAATCTGGGATGAGAACACTGAGAACACTGTTGACATGCATTTTGCAAACGTGCCTTGGATTGAGAAGGCACTGACACCTGTGACAGGTATCTCCAAGTCTGTTGGTCGTGGAGTGTGCCAGCAGGTCACACATTTCCCTGCTTTGCAAGGCAGGATGTTACTATTGTCCCCACTTAGATGGGACACCGGGGACCAGAGCCCTCTGGCAACTACCCCAAGGTTGGATGAGAAATCTGCAGCAGAGCAGGAGACCTTGCTTGGATCTCCTCGGTCTGCTCAACCACCGGACCTTCCTGCCCTCTGGTTGTGCTTTTCTTCCTGTTGTTCGTTCAACAGAACTGTTCACACTGAATTTGCAAGATATGTACTAAATGAGGCTCCTCAGCTGAGGAGTTTATAGTTTAATTCGATTGTCCCCGGGGCACGCTGAGGGGATGGAGACTTCCTGAGCTGCTCTGCAAGGAGACCTTGTTGGAAAATCAAGTTTTAAGACTTTCTGGGAGAGGTAAACAGCAGTGTTTGGTAGCCAGAGGGGGAAGGCTTTTCTACCCTCTGAAGCTTGTAGAAAGAGGAGACGAGAGTCAGAGAAGCAGAGATCAGAGAGAGATGATAAAATTGGTGTGGAGGAAGGAGTGGAAGAAGGTGACGGTTCACAAATTTGTGTTGTGATGAAAACTCGAAGCCTGAAGTTGAGATTGGCCCAAACACCTTTCTTTCCTCACGTGATGCAGAATTGTGCTGGAGACAGAGGGTGGGCAGCGCTGCAAACGGCCCCCAGCAACGTGGCATCTTCCTCTGAGCAGGTTTTGAGCAGTGGTGGGGATTATTTCTTCTTAAGAAGAGCCTTTATATCGCATCCAAACTGCTGCTCAAAATTCCCCTTTCCCAGCTCTGGGGACCCTGAGGAGCACTGATAACAGGGACTGGCTGGACTGGTTTGGAGCTCGGCAGAAACCTCAGGGACTCACTCAGTCACTCTGGAAAAGGTTCCTGAGGGACCTTGGTGCAGGTTTTCGTTCTCTTGGAAACTCACTTTCTGCATTAAATGCGAAAAGTGAAAAGATCCACCTTCCTGGGTGGTTCAGGTGTTGCAGGAGCAGGATGCAGCCTCCAGGCTGCCCTCTGCCAGGGGCAGGGATGGCATGAGGCTACTCTGGCACTGGGCTCTGGAGCCACAGCAGGGCCTGTGGGCTTCCATCTGCTGAATCCTGGGAGCCCACCTGCCTTCTGGAGACCACGGAGGTCTACCCTGGAGATGCTGTGATCTTTCTCCCCCGTTTTGAAGCATGGTGTGTGTGTCCTCATGGGCCCCGTGAGCTGACCCCAGATGGTCTGTCGTGATGGGGGTGTGATGGGGCTTGGGCAGACAGACCTGCCTCAACGGGCTCTAAACGCCCTCGTTCAGGCACCGATGGCCAGTGTGACCACAGCGGCGTGCCTGCTGGTGGCAGCTCGCCAGAGCCCCTGGCAGCGGGCACTCTCAGAGCTTATTAACTGTTCCCAAAACAGCTGGCTTTAACCCAGCTATCATAGGTCTGCGCCAGGTTGTGGCTGTACCAACAGTGGCAGCGTGGAGAAACCAGGACCCTCTCCTGGATCCCAGTTAGCTCCTGGTTGGAAGCCACAAGTCATCTCCTCTGCCATCTATCAGCACACACCTGCCCTCTGCCGTGGGTGGAAGAGGGATGAAGTGTTTCATTGTGTATTTTTACCTTAATAAAATCCCCCGAGACATTTGCTTCTGGGGGGGAATCTAGCTCTTCGCAGGCTGTTGGCACCCTGCATAGGAAAACATGTTAGTTAGCATGTATTTTTTGAGCAACGCTCTTTAAAAACAAAAGCCACGGACTAGTTTTGATGTTTTCTTTCTAGCGCACGATCCATTTTATTCAAAGGTTGAGGTTTTCTTGTTTATTCTTAAAGATAATTTGGAAATAACCTTGGCGGTGTTCGCTTGCAGATGAATGAAGACTTCCCCAGCCTCAGGAGCCCCAGCTGAGCTCTCAGAGGCTTCTGATCCAGTTGAGTCAAGAGCTTTGTCTGGGCGGAGGACGCGAGTCAACAAATGGTCTCTGTGAGTTGCCAGGAGCTGCTCCCCTCCTTGACCAGCTCGTCCCTGCTAGAGAGCTTGGCCAGTGCTCTGCAGCGCAGGATGCCACCGTCCCTTCTGCCAGGGCACGGCAGCGAGAGGGCATCCAGCCACCCAGAAGGCTCTGGCCATCTCCTCGCAGGCAGCACCAGCCACCCTGAAGGCACCCCGTCCCCCCTGTCTGGGGAGAAAGATGCAAAACCCCAAGTCACCATCTGTGAGGCTCATCTCAGGCTGCCTGACTTCTGCAGCAGCCTCTCCCAGGACTTCATTCCCACCCTGGAGGAGATCGAGGAGTTCCTGAGGGAGAAGGCTGAGTTCCTCAAAGAGGAAGCACGTGAGCTTCCCCCAGCTGGAGGGAAGGTGGAGATCAAACCTGAGGTCAGCTTAGGTAGCTCTGGGGGACAGCCTGTCTCCAGCGTGGCTCAAGAAGAAGATGTCTCACGTGCTGCTCAGCCTGGAGCTGATGGCAGTGACCAGGCAGTAGCTGCCGGCAGCGTTCCTGTTGTCCTCCAAATCCAGCCTCTCCCGATGGACAGTGGCAGCCCCGTAGCCACAGGGGGTGTCAGGGTGGCCCAGCTGGTTATCAGCCTGCAGGGCCAAAACCTGTCCTTCCTCCCTCAGGTCCAGCCCCCTGTCACCATCATGGACCAAAAATATGTCAAAATTGCCCCCTTGCCGGTCGCCAGGAGGTCGGGGGATGTGCAAGAGGTGGAGGTAACCCCCAGGTATCAGAAAGCCCCCCCTTCCCTCCTCCGGGTCCATAAGTGCTCCCACCCGGGCTGCGGCAAGATGTACACCAAGAGTTCCCACCTCAAGGCTCATTTCCGTCGTCACACCGGAGAGAAGCCCTACACTTGTGCTTGGCCCAACTGCAGCTGGAGGTAAGTGGGAGCCGCAGGACTCGGGGCGAGTGGGGGTCCCTCCCTCCCCCCAAAGTCCTGCCGTCCCTTGCCAAGATGTCAGCTATTGAAAATCCAGGATAAAATCACAAGTTTTTCTTTCCCCGGTGAATTCTAGGAGAGAGTGGAAGGAGACCTGGAGGAGTAAAGTTTGTTGAGCGCTTTGGGTGGTTTTCACTCAACCCAAAAGTGCTGAATCCCCCCAGGTGGGGGAGCGTAGCCACCGCTCTCCCAAACACCCCAAATTCAGCTGGATGCCTGGGTACCCTCTGGCAACACGGCTTTTCCCAGTGATGTTGTCATTTTGCAGCCTTTCTCTGTCTGGTTCAGGACAATTTCTGCAGTTGGGCTACAAAAATGGCTTTTCCCATTATTATTTGTCCTGGGAAATAGGAGTCCCGCTGCATCCCCAGGAGCCAGCGCACAGCTCTGTGTGTGTTTAACCATCCTTTGCTTTCTCTTGCTGTTCACCTGCTGCTTGTATCCCTCAGACACCCCTGGGCCAACATCTCCGTGTTGCATCTCCTTTTGTTTGCTTTCCATGGGATGGTGGTTGTCGGTTTCTTTCATCTGTGCTCCCTAAGTTAACCCTTGATGATTTTTCTTCTGGGGTGTTCTCTTCCTGGTACCACATCCCAGTCCTGGGGGGGGAGGATGCTCAGGGCAGCCTCTGGCAAGAAGGGCTGAGAGTCCTCAGGCCTCGTGTAGAACTTTTCATCAGCAGATCTCAAAGCACATCACAAAGGAAACCGGCGCTGGCAGCACCAAGCTTTCCTGGTTTCTTATGCAATGCTTTGGCACAGACCAGCTGCCTTTGTTCCCTGCATAGAATCATGGAATCATCTAGGTTGGAAGGGACCTTCAAGATCATCTAGTCCAACCATCAACCCAACTCTGACAAAAACCCATCGCCAAACCATGTCCCCCAGCATCATGGCAGCCCCTCTTTTGAACCTCTCCAGGGATGGTGCCTCAACCACTTCCCCGGACAGCCCATTCCAATGCTTGATAACCCTTTTGGTGTCAACATTTTTCCTAATATCCAAATTAGTGGGGTTGTGGCCTCTCTCTTGGGGTGGTGAAACTCTGGAAAGTACGAGACTAGGTCTGAATTTTGGGACTCCCTCTTGCCAAGCTGCTGGCCCTTCGCCATCTTGTCCCTCTGTTTTTCACCTGTAACCACAAAAAGTGTTTATAGACATCAGTTCCTTTTCCAGCACTGCTGAACCCTCCCTGCACCCAATGCTAGAGCCTGGGGACTAAGGAAGGGGACAACAGCGACCACACCAGCATCACTTTTCCCTCTGGGGAGGAGGAAAGGGCTGGTGACAGCATCCCACAGGCTGTCCTTGAAGCTGCTGTGCTGCTGCCCTGCCCTCCCCCTGGGGCAGCAATTATACTCCCCAGTGATGTGCTCAGCCGAGGCTGGGGGTCTGTAAATACACGTGTCATTTCTCCTGGCCCCACTTTCTGTGAGGAGCTGAGACCTTGGAGCTCGCTTCTGGCAATAGGGCTGGAAAAGGAGGCCGTGGTTTGCAGGGAAGACCCGAGGATGGCCTTGGGATGCATTCCCAGAGCCTTTTGTGAGCAGCCGCAGTGTTTACCCTACCAGGTGTGAGCTCGAAACCCTATCGCTGGGAGTCTGGGGTTACATCTGAAGCTCTTTGCTTTTGTGCTTCTTTTGCGTGGGCATGTTTCAGCCAGATGGAAAAACCCTTCCGTCCTAATGCTCCTGCCATCTGTGTTGGCTCCTGAGAGGCAGAACAGGAGTAAATCCCATCCAGCCCTCTCCAGCCCTCCCCTGACACTCGGACATGCTGAAGTCCCACCAGCTCCCACCAAAGGTCCTTGAGACCTTTGAGGTGGCACAAAACTACTGGGGACCAACCCTGCCCCCAGGTCTGGATCTGCGGGTGCCAAGTGGAAGAAAGGCTGCAGGGGAGTTAAGTGGGGACAGGCACGTGGTTAAAGGGACTTTCCAGCCTGTTCAGCTGATTCCAGGTGTGGGAATTCCACAGCCAAACAGTCTGAACACTGGGTGTTCCTGTGGCCCTGGCTACTGCAGCCTCAGAAAGGCAGTTACAGAATCATGGAATGGTTCGGGTTAGAAGGGACCTTAAAGATCATCCAGTTCCAACCCCTTGCCCTGGGCAGGGACACCTCCCACTAGACCAAGCTCAAAGCTCCATCCAACCTGGCCTTGAAACCCCTCCAGGGATGGGGCAGCCACAGCTTCTCTGGGCAAACCTGGTCAGCTTGCTTTGGCATGGCAACCTCTGTGCTTTTCCTCCCTCGTGCTTGGTATTTAAACCTCACAGCCTCAGAGAGAGGCTGCTCCTCTCTCTCCCCAGCCCAGCCCAGGCTGACAGGGAAAACTCGCTGCCCTTCTAAGAAACAAGAGGATGCTCAGAGTTTGCTGGGAGAACCCTTGCTCTCAGGAAAAACAAGTGTTCTCTCAACAGCACTGCTCTTCTTGGCTGGATGTGGGAGTTGTAGTAAAGCCTTTCCACCCAGGCTCATGAAGGGTGTCCTTTAGCCACTGCCAGCCTGGGCTGGTGCCCCCAAAAAACCACTTCTCTCAGCATCCAGCCTGGGGGCTGTCAGGTCCCAAGAGGTTTCAGCAAGTCTAAAACAAATGAAGGAAGTAGGTGCACGGTGTCCTTCAAGAGCAGCGAAAAGAAATGAAGATCTCAGTGGGTGAATTCTTTTCCTCTTTCCTGTCTCTTAAATCACCCCGTGGAGGGGTTTATTCCTTTCCATTCCTCCAGCAGGAGCCCGGGGTACCTCAGCCTCGCTGGGAGGCTGGATGGAGCAGAGCAGAAGTGACCTGTGTGGGGTCACCCCAGGAGGCTGTGGCAGAGACAGACCTCCCACATCCCAGGGTCCTCATGTCCCCTGTCCCATCCGGCAGCAAAGGCTGGATCCACCAGGCTTCCCTTCTCCTGCAGGTTCTCCCGGTCGGATGAGCTCTCCCGTCACAAGCGCTCCCACTCCGGGGTGAAGCCCTACCAGTGTGCCGCCTGCCAGAAGAAGTTTGCCCGCAGTGACCATTTAGCCAAACACGTGAAGATCCACCGGGGCCAGAGGACACTTCGGGGCGGTGACAGGAGTTAAACCTCCAAATCCATTCACTCCTGCTGCTCGTCCGTACCATGCTGCATCCAGGAAGCCCCAAAGCCAGGGGAAAAAAAGATGCAAAAGCCACTAATGAACACTAAAAAACATTAAGGAAGAGGGGGACACGACTCTCTCTAACAAATTATAGGAGATCCACTACCTCTGTTCAAGGCTGGCCTATATTCATGGCCTGTTTCTGGTACATTTGTCCCTCTCTTAAATATAGATGGTGGAAAGCCAAGTTAATTCAGGGTGAGTGTGTGTGTAGGGACGTGGAGCAGAGGTTTTACACAGCTCATGGGTGTCACCCATGGGTGTCACCCACGGCGTCCAGCTCTCCATCCCCTCCGTGGGGCATCCCCTGGGCTGCTGTGGCTGCCACTCACCCTGGCATCCCCAGGGGTGCTCTGGGCCAGCAGCATCTCGGAGGTGGCCAGAGAGGATTCCTTCTGGCCAGACTCACTCAGAAACCTGGGTGCATCCAGACAGAGCCCTGTTTGTGCTGTGCAGCCGCTGCGGGGGCTCGACGGGACGCCGGGGATGGCTTTTGTGGTGTGGCTGAGACAGTGGTTGTGTTGTCCCTACCTCTGCTTGTTGGTTTTTGGTAGTTTTACACCCGGCTGGCACTGGGCACGACGGCGTCCTTGGGGAGGGTGACGTTGTGGCTATGGTTGGAGGGGGGTGGGAAGTGTGTCTGTGCAGTGGTGGGTGTCGAAAGGGCATCAGGAGAAACGTAAGAAGCACCAGCAAAGTCCTTTTTTACACACTGGCATGAAAGAACACAGGTATGGAGGGACACGGGGGTGTGTGGACCCAGGGAAGAGCCGAACGCTCCGGTCGGGGGGAGCAGGGCTGCTCACAGGTTGCTGACGTCCCTTTTGTATTTAACTTCTGGTTAATTAAAGGCCAACTCCCTGCTGCTGTGCCAACTTCCCGAGCTTTTGCAAACATCTGGGAGGGAATTAGGTGCTTGTACAAACAAAGAATCAGCGTCAGGGGTTTGAGCTAGGCTGCCTGCCCTTTCTCCGTGGCTTTGCCAGCGTGTCTCAAGCTGATATTTTGGTGCCTGCGGGCTCTTTGCAGCTCAGGTGTGCTCCTGGTGTTCTCTTACCCCAACCCTCTTCCACTTGTCTCGAGCTGCCCTTGAGCTGGCTTTAGTGAGGAGCGTTGGGTTGTACCCAAAATAAGGACAAGGAAATGAGCTCAACTCTTTTCCCTGCCCCGTGGAGGGCATGTTCCTACAGCAAAGAGGTTGTTCTCTGGTCCCTGCAGCCCTTTTCGAGTGATGACTCCAGGGAAGGAAAAGGCCAGGCTGGTGGGGATGGACACGGTGTCCTGCTCTAAGGGCTGGTACAAACATTTCTGGATGAGACACCAAACATCAGTCTGAGAAAAGCAATCCATCCTGGTGTGTGGCTGGAGGTGTTTGCTGTTGGTGGCTGCTCCTTCCTCAGTGCAGTGACCAGAGCTCTTCCAGCTCCGTTGAGAAGATACCACAGTGTGACTTCAGGGAAAGAAGGAGTGAGGGAGCTGAAAATCCTTTGTTTATTCCTAGTCTAGAATGTCTGGGGGTGCTTATGCTCCCCCTGAAGGAGATGTTGCTGCTGCGGAGGTTGGAGATGGATGGGATAGGGCACTTCCCACCACTGAGGGTCTCTGGTGCACTGAAGTTCTCCATCATGAACTTGTTTCTCCTGCAGTTTGTTGTTCCAGTGCTGCAGGGCCATGGTCTAGCCCAGGACCTGGTGCTGCTGGTCCTTATGAGCGTTCCAGCCCCAGGACCTGGTGCTGCTGGTCCTTATGAGCACCAAAGAGATGGCTCCACTTCCCCCATGCTTTTGGCCCCTGTAAATGGTAAAAGTTTCTCTCAAGCGGGAACTTCGGTGTGCAGAAATGGTGGTTTTGCAGAGGAGAAAGGTTACTAAAGCTGGTTTTGGATTCTTTATGGTAAAAACAAGCCGGCCCACAGCTGGAGGAAGGCTCACTGGCCAGTTTCCAGCCCCAGCGTGGCGGGGAACCGGCTCCTGGCCCTCCCAGCTGCAGCGGAGCTGTGGTGAATGGAGCTGCTCTTGGGTTTCCAAAAAGCTGGGGTTGTGTGTTTCTCAGAGAACACCTGCATCTCTTGCTTTCCTAATCCCCAGGCGGGAGAGCGGGGTTTATGGCAGAAATAGCTGGAGCCACGCTGCTGGAGTTTGGATCCAAGCTTTTCCCAAAGGTCTGGGAGGGATGGTTTCTGGATCCTGGCTTAAACTCCTCCATCCTTAGCTCAGACGTGGGGAGGTGTGGAGGGGCTGGATGGAAAGGAGCCGCCTGCTGCGGGGTTTTCATTCCTGTGCGTGCAAGTGTGTAAGACCTGCAGCCCTCACGTCGGCTCTTTGGGGAGAGCTCTCCCCTCGGGGGAAAGCAGGCGGCTTTTGCACGGATTAGCTGGAGATTTGGGCCTCTCCAAACGCCCCCTGAGCTCTCCCACCTCTGCCCTGGCCTGGTCAAGCGTGCCCAGATGCCAGCGAGAAACACTGCCCAAGCTCATGTGATGCTGAACCTTTAACAATGAGCCAGGGGAGACAGGTATGCAAGAGCCTATTTTGGGTTGCCTTTTGTTTTAGTGGATTTTTTTGCCCGACTAGGAATTTATTTCATGCCCTCTTTTTGCTTGAGGGCTCTCTTCGGAGGCCGTACGCCAACATGACTCATGCCCGTCTCGTGCTTTTATCTGTCCCCCTTTGCTCTTCTCCCTCGCTCCAGACTCTCTCACAGCACTCCCTCTGCGTTTTGGACCTGCCCCGTCCTGCCTCCCTCCGCTCTCAGCCGAAGGCGACGTGGGGAGATTGCGTGTTTCCCGACCGTGGGGCGAGAAGAAGCCTCGTCGTTAAGTCCGAGGCTTTTCTCTGGTCTCCAGCAGCTCATCTGCTGAGCAGCTCCCACAGAGACCCCGCTGGTCCTGGTGGTGGATCCCCCATGGAAGACGTGGAAGCGCCGGCAGCGGTGACTTGCTGCTCACCTGGTCTGTTTTGCCGTTCCTTTTAAACCAACCGCAAAGGGAGGGGAGAGATTTTTTTTTTTTTACAAAATAAAACACCCTAGATAGGTATCTCTTGTGCAATGCGTATTAGAGCCTCACCTGCTTCCCTCTGGGGACTCTGGATGAAGGACTTGAAAAGTTTACTGAAGGCGCTGTAATTACCTGTCCTTTGCTCCAGTGGGGATATTATTCCACGGCAGAAATGTTCCTTGTGGAAGTACAGATGAGATCTGTGGCATCAGGAGGGAGGAGGACCATTCTCTCTTCCCTTAGATGCATCCCCAGGAGGTGACAAACTGCCCTTGTGTCACCGAGGCTGCTGGGTTACCACCAGCCCCTTCTCCGATGGTGCTGTCAAGGGGCTGGGGCTGGGTCCCTGCCATGTTTTTCCCCGTTGGAGAAGTGGGAATGGGAGGAACGGGTTGCCTTGTGCTTGAAGTGGGAAGGCTGTCAGGTTGCTAAGCAGTGCTTTTTCAGAAACGAAATGCCAGCAGACGGGAGTTGTAGCAGGGCAGGATGTGGGAGAGCACAAAGAGAAATCCAGGCAATGTTTCTAAATTTGCAGCTGCGGCTCTGGATATAGCAGCGCGCGGAGCCCTGCGTCCTCAGCGGCGTCAGCGACAGCAGTGACATCCCCGAGCTCCAGCCCACGAGGAGCTCGTGCCAACTGCCTCTGAGATGGGATAAGGGCCGGTGACATCCACGGATGGGTTTAACACCCCTTTCAAAATGCATCTCTAAGATGGACTTTTCATTTTTTTGCCCCAGTTAAATCAGAACTGGGTTTTTATTATCGATTCTCTCTCCCAGAGTCCAGTATTTTGGGGGGTAAATGCAATTCTTGGTGTAGTTTCTCTTTCTCCTGGTGGTTAAGCAGCAGGAGCTGGCTTGGGGCAGGGAGGGGACGGGACCCTGGAGTTTTCCCAGGATAACAGGAAAGGGGAATAGAGTGTGGGCACAGGGCTGCACAGGCTGGAAAACGGGCAAAGGTTTGCAGGAGCAAAGGAGGTCAGTTGAGTTTTCCTCCACTGCCCCACCAGCTGGGCCAGGTCCTGGGCCTGAGCAGCAGAAGGTGGGAGCTGGTGATGGGAATCAGGTGGAGAAGGTTTCAGCCCCATCAGCCAGCCCTGGGGTGGCCCAGGGCCTGAAGTTGGAAGCCAAAGGGACAGGAGCCCCTTGTTGGTTTGTGTGTGTCCCGGGATTGAGGTTCAGGCTCTTCCAGAGCTGTAGCTCAGCACAAAATACAACTTTTCCTTGCAAAGAAGCGGGGTGTAGCGTGGCCTCGTGCTGCAGGTGATGCAGTAGCTCACAGTGATGCTCTGCTCATCTCCCCCCGGAGCTCCCACCCTGGGAACAGAAGGGTTAAGGGCACAGCAAAGCTTAATGAACCAACAAGCTAAATTAAAACAGCTGGCTGGATTGACTTGGCCCGGCCAGGCTGGATGACTTATTGCTTCATAATCAGCTTTCTAAGTAGGGACAGGTCCACTTGCAGGGCGGCTGGAGCAGGAAGGAAGGTCTCTGTGTTGGAATAAGACTCTTGAGTGATTGGCTTTTGTCCGTGGGGGGATTGTCACTTCTCCTCTGGGGCTCGGTGATCCCAAACCCGTGCCGGGTGCTTGTTTTTAGCATGGACTTCGGGCAGGGTGTTGGCAGGGATGCACCTTTCCTAGGAGCTGCTCTCCACCACCTGTGCAGGTAAAATACTTTTTTTCCCCAATGTTCTGTCTGAGCTGGGGGAAGGTCCCCATCTGAGGAGATGAATTCCCCTGTGGGAGAGGATGGGGTGACGGTGTCTGGTCAGCCGTGGCATTTCTTCTGGTTTGATCCAGGAACTGGGCAGTGGTACAGAAAGGGCTTATCCCTCCCTGGAAAATCCACCCAGATAAAGCCTTTTTTGGCTTAGAAAGTAAGTGGTGGGAGGGGGGAGAATCAAATATGCGATTCGACATCCACGGATCTGTGTTTGCTTTTGGAAACGTTGGCTTTTCTCGGTGAATTGCACTGATTCCTCCCCAACTGCAGCTTCACAGCTCCTTGCTAAGAGAGCTGAGTGCGCCGCAGTCTG